GAAACCCTGTCTCAAAAAAGACAAAAAGAAGAAGAAGAAAAAAAAAAAAAAAGACAGGGTCTCACTCTCTAATCCAGGCTAGCCTTGAATTTAAGTTAGTCCTGCCTCAGCCTCTCAAGTGCTCAGATTATAGGTCTGACCCATACACCTAGCCTTAGAATTGTTTGCTTTTTACTGGCATACTTGTGACCAAATCTGATTAAAATCTTAAATGAATACCTTCAATCCAAGTACTCAAGAGGCAGAGGCAGAAAGATCTCTGTGATGTCCAGACCAGCGAGGTGCAAAATAGGGAGACACTATCTCAAAAAGACACCCCCTCCCCCAAAAAACCAAGTGATTATCTCAGCATAAGTTTTAACTTAAACTTGGTGTTTCTAAGGTGTCAGGCAGTTATAAAATAGTGGTTTCCATGGGCCGGGCGTGGTGGAGCACGCCTTTAATCTCAGCACTTGGGAGGCAGAGGCAGGCAGATTTTTGAGTTCGAGGCCAGCCTGGTCTACATAGTGAGTTCCAGGACAGCTGGAGCTACAGGGAAACCCTTTCTCAAAAAGACAAAAAAGTGATTTCCTGAATTTACTATTTCTACACATTTACTTGCTGTCTTGTATGGCATATTCAGCTTCAGTTAAAATAGTTTTTTTTTTTTTTTCTTTCTGAAATCATGCTGCGTTTCAGTTAGCTCTGAGATACAGAATTGCCCATCTATTCATAACACCACTTATTAGTGCTTCCTGTGTGCCAAGCACAGTGGTAAGCACTTCATGTAAATGCTTCATTTCATCCACAGTATTCAGTTCTGAAGTTCTGAAATAGCTGCTCTCATCTCCATTTCCTAAGAGGTGAAACTGAGGTTTAGTGTGCAGTGACCTGTCCAGAGTGTCAGAGATCATGATCCAGCCTGTCAGGTCTGTGCTACAGTTGGTAAAGCCCTCATGGTTTCAATGGTAGATTAAAGTTGTGGGTATTGAAGGCCAACTTGGACTTGAATTTGTTCAAGCTGTTATGTAACAGGCATTTCCATCATTTCCATTGAGCTTTTTGAGACTTTTGAGCCTGATCTCAGCGTTGAGCATCATTAGAAGTATGCTGACTAGAAAGTTTGACTTTGAGCTTTATGACTCTGAATCTGGATTTGTGTTGGCACAGAGCACTGATCTCAGATATAGAGATTAGGGCAGCTACTGCGCAAAGACCAAATGGTAGAAAAGGAATATTTCATTATAAAGTGAAAGAAATCACTTTTTTTCCTTCTTAAAAACTTACTCTGATGATTGTATGTTTGTTTGTCTTCCAGACCATAGTCTTGAGTTTACTCATGAGGTCAATTGGAAATAAGAATACCATCTTACTGGGTCTGGGATTTCAAATATTACAGCTGGCGTGGTATGGCTTTGGTTCAGAACCTTGGTAGGTATAAACATTGTAATATTCATTTTCTTAATTTTTTTTGTATTTGGAAAATTTCATTCATGAATACAATTATTTTGATCATAGGCCCCCTCCCCCCAGCTACCTCCCTCCACCTCCTTGCAGAATCTCCAACATGTTTCCTCCCAGCCTTGTCCTCTTGATTTTGTGTTTTAATTATTAACTCGCTGAGTCCCATTAGTGCCATCCATGTATACATGGGTGTGGTACTAGCCACTTGGGCATGAACAGCCTACCAGCCCCCACACCCATTTTCTTAATTTGGGTGCTTTTTTGTTGCCAGCCCTACCCTTTTACTTCCTTCTTGGCTAAGCCATTGGCTTTAATCGCTCTTGCTATGGTTTTCCTTTAGAACATACATTGTGGCTAGAGTGGCTTGAGGAGATAATGGTGGCATTTTTATAGTTAAGTGACTGGTTGCATTTTTATACAAGATTATTAAGCTTTTGAATCTCTTAAGGAGCAGCCAATTTAATCAGCGTCATAGAATCCTGTAGCAACAAGGCCCTGACAGAGGGGTATGGTTTGGAACTTGATACCCAATTTTACATCATCAAAATGCCATGCCATTCTTGTGAATAAGTAGTTGTTCCTGATTTTTGAGAATACATAGGCCTATACTTAAGTGGCTTGTCTAGAATTGCTTAGGAAATAGAGAAAGCACCCTTCTCTTTTTGCTGTCCCACAGCCACTTACCAGTAAGAATGACTTGATTTTTAGGTCTATATTTGGACAGGTAAAATGGAGAAGCATTTATTTCTGCTTTGATTGCAGGATGATGTGGGCTGCTGGGGCAGTCGCAGCCATGTCTAGCATTACCTTTCCAGCTGTTAGTGCCCTTGTTTCACGAACTGCTGATGCTGATCAACAGGGTGAGTCGATCTCAGAACCCACAATAATTGAGTCCTGTGTTTTCTCTCTGGGCACAAGTACTGAAGCAAATGTATCTTCAGAGTAGTGTTTTAAGATTAACAGAAAGCAGGCACTAGGGTATTAGCTTTCTAGTCTCTTGTCTCTTACTTTAAATATTATGTGGCTATGCTAGTGACTTTGGCTTCATCATGACAAAACACCTGACAAACAGGAGCAAGGGTTTATTTGGGTCACTTTCAGAGGGTTCAGTCCATGGTTGACCTCATAACAAGGCAGCATATCAGCAGGGGCATGTGGCTTTGGCTATTCACCTTATGGTTAGCAGGAAGCAGGGGTAGGAAGAGGCCAGGGACAAGATACCCTCAAGGACCCATCCCTAGGATTCTGTTTCTCCTAAAGTTCCCAGCTCCTCCCCAAGTAGCACTACCAATAGGGACTCAGCCTTCAACACATGGGCCTATGGAGGACATTGTATATTCAAGCCATAATTTACTAATGAAGTTTTACTAAATGTTTGTTTTGCTATGTTTTGATAGACATCTTAGGATACATTGGTAACCCTTTTGTTAAAATCCTATAGCACAGCTGGGTGTGGTGATGCATGCCTTTAATCCCAGGCAGAGGCAGGCAGATATCTCAGATCCAGGCCAGCCTGGTTTACATAGCAAGTTCCAGGCTAAAGGGAGGCCCTGTCTCAAAACAAATTTAAAAATCATACAGCTTCAGTTCTCTAAAGATACATGCTGTGGTAAACATAACTTTTGTGGTAGGAACATTTATTTGTAGGAATGCTGTCAGATAAGGATCATTCTCTGAGGGGGGCATGCTTTTACATGGCTAGAAAGGGGTGGTTATGTAACAATGGCAGTGGTCATTTAGTAAAACAGGGAAGGCCTGTGGTGAACAATTGCATTTAAATTGGAAAAAGAATCCCAGAGAAATTAAAAATTAGACAAACCAAATAGAATATATGAGTTGCACAGGGCAATTCTTGAGAGCTGTACTCATGAATCCATGACTGATTTTTGACCAGGAGTGCTTTAAAGGCTGTGATTCAAGGAAACAAAGTGCTTTTTCCTGCTTGTTTCTATGTTCTGAGAACACATCTGCATGGTGTACTCTCCTGGACTTCACTGAGCTGATGTTTTCTAAGTAGTTTTTAATGCTGTTATACTAAATTGATGGTATCTATTAAAACCCTTAATTTTAGATTGATTTGTACTTTAAGAGTATGAGAAGCTGCTAGTGTACTAAGTGATTCTTTAAACAATGTAGGTGTTGTTCAAGGAATGATAACAGGAATTAGAGGATTGTGCAATGGTCTGGGCCCAGCCCTTTATGGATTCATTTTCTACATATTCCACGTGGAACTTAAAGAACTGCCAATCACAGGAACAGACTTGGGGACAAACACAAGCCCTCAGCACCACTTTGAACAGGTAATATATTTGTTTTATTTGGTTGGATTGAAAGACGGTTTTCATAGCAAAAGCTTTTATGTAAAATTAGTTTTGTTTTTGTTTGTTTGAGGCAGGGCCATGACTCTAGGATAGCCTGGCCTGGAACTTAAGTTTAGCCCAGGCTGCCTAGAATTCCCTTGTTCCTTCTTAGGATTAGATATTAAGCATGTGAAATGCTTATTTTTAGATTGAATAAAACATCAAATAGACTGCTTGCCTAGCATGAGCAGGCCCTAGATTCAGTCCCCAATGTTATAAAACCAAACACCAAAACCAAAAATAACCTTAAAAATTAAAGTGTAGATAGGTATGTGTTCTTCTGAGTGCCTCTGTGAAATTGGCTACATATACTTTTTCCCTCTAAGAATGAAAAATTACTGAAGGCTACTCTTTTTTTTTCCTTCCCTTTTTTTGGCCATTTTAAAGACAGGGTCTCCCTGTAGCCCCAGCTGGCCTGGAACTTGTTATGTAGACCAGGCTGTCCTCAATCTCACAGAGATCCATGTACCACCATGCCCAGCTATTCAAGGGTACTCTATCAAATTAATGGCTCTGTAGTGGGTCCCTACACGGCTGCTTTGTTTTTCCCAGCCTTTTGTAGTGTCACAGTTGTATGAAGTCAGCCATGTTCACTTGTTTGCCTTATTTCCCTCTTTATAACTGAAACTACCAGTGCCAAACCACATGGATTGTTTACCCAATACAGAGATTGAGTTATCTTGACTTAGCAAGAATTCTACCCCAGCCAAGCAGCGGTTAAGAGCATTGACTGCTCTTGCAAAGGACCCGGATTTGATTCTCAGCATCCACATGGCAGCTAACAACAGTCTGTAACTCCAGTTCTAGGGGATCTGACACCCTCTTCTGACCTCCGTGGACATTGCACCACACACGTGCACATACCTACATGCAGACATGACACTCATACACATAAAATAAAATAAGAAAATAAATCTAATTATTATTTCTTCTTCAGAATTCCATCATCCCTGGCCCCCCCTTCCTCTTTGGAGCCTGTTCAGTCCTGCTGGCTCTGCTCGTTGCCTTGTTTATTCCAGAGCACACTAATCTAAGCTTACGGTCCAGTAGTTGGAGAAAGCACTGTGGTAGTCACAGCCATCCTCACAGTACACAAGCGCCAGGAGAGGCCAAAGAACCTTTACTCCAGGACACAAATGTGTGACAACTGGAATCAGGAAGACCTGTCAGCACCCAGGTCTTAGTTTTCACCTGTAGTTCTGGATGCACATTCCTCTTCCATCTGCAAAGGACTTACACTGTCTTAAGAAATGTATCTGCATGAACTTCGTGGGAACTAAAGAAAGAACCGGACAGTTTTCCAAAGATGTTACAATTTCTTTTGAAAAGAAACCTTTTGTTTATCAGCACCAGTCTCTTGCCACTAAACTGTTTTATTATACATCCTTTAATTAAAAATTATGTATGTAACTCTTTAGCTGTTAGCATATGTCTCTGCTACCATTTCCTTAAGGTGTTGAGCTTTACCTCTATTTATGCTGACTCTGAGGCAGAGTTGTAGTATGGCTGTGGACCTGTTCGTTTAACATTGCAAATCCTGAGTCAGATTTTGATATTATAAAATCTTGGGTCAAATAATTCAAAGCCTTAATGCAGATGCACTAGAATAAAGAAATGGTAAAGAATTGTTTGCATTTTTAAAAAAACTTAAGAAAATTGTACTAAATCAGAATCATGTTTCAAGCTTGTTTGCCATAATTTTCTTTATTTAAAGCATTATTCACTACTGTTTTTGAAGTATGAAAATATCAGCCATTAGAACTGAAATTGGGGTGGTCAGCTTGTAAACCTAAATGCTGGCTCAAATTTGTTCAGAGTTGTTCTGCTTCTTATACCACTGTTCTTTTAATGTTTGCATAATCCTAAGAACCTCAACACTTGAATACATAATCTAAAATATATAGTAAAGCTGGTAGCCTTGAAAATGTCAAATGTGATTTCTATAATGTAGATAAATATATATATAGTGGCCTTTCAGGACTGTCACAGTAACACTTTATTTACAGAGCTAATGTTTGTCCTAAATTTTCAGGACCCTAGAAGAGAGCTTTATACAATTACTGATGTGAATTTCTCTAAAGTGTATATTTTTGTGTCCAGTTATATTATTTAAAAAAGTGTTACTTTGTAAAAATTGTACATAAAGTATTGTATAGTTTACACTGTTTTCATCTTGTGTGTGGTTATTGCCTAATGCTTTTTAAACTTGGAACATTCACTATGGTTAAATAAGGTCTTTAATGTAAATATTCTGTTAATAAAATTAAATATTTTAATGATTTTTTTTCTTTTTAAAAAAGTCTTGATCTGTGAGTCCCTATAGGTCTGTTTGGGCTTTATTACCAGAATCATTTTTATAGTAGCAAATCAGTGCTTTCCTCCCTTCTGCAACCCATTTATTTTCCCTCAAAGACAAAAATGAAAAGTACTTCATTTCCTAAGAACAGATGTTGCAGATCAATTTCTTTTTGTTGTTTTAAATATACTTTTGACATATCAAGTTCCCGAATTTCAGTACTTTATTAACAAAGTCACATTTATAGAAATAACATTAATATCAACATTTTGATTATTAACACATATACAAGTATATACTACAAAACAATTTCAAATAAAAGTTCAAGAGGTAGAGCAAAGAAGTAGCACACACTATGTTTGTACATTGAATACAAAATGTCTTGTAACAAGTTGATAGGAAACTGAATTTTCCACATGGATATATAAATAGCAAAGGATAGGTTATCTATTTTTTTTTTAAAAAAAGAAAAAGCTGTATGTCCTATACCCCTTCCAAACCCTGCCACAATGCTTTATGTGTGTTACACAGTATTTACAACACAGTTCCATAAAGCAGACTTCTTTTTAGAATAAGTGCTTTTAAGTAATTGTAACAATATTCTTACTAATATTATCTAAATGATGGAGGAAAAAGTCACTGAATTTTCTACATAAATCATGGTTTAAGCTTGCAATGGAAGCACCTTCAAAGAGTAAGGCTAAAGGTCCTTGTCTCATCATCTTAATATGTTGTCTCATCATGGTTATCCTATAAATGTCCTCATTTGTATAATGTACCTAAAAATGATTTTTAAACTCTCACGTGATCATTAGCAGTTTTCAAACAAGATTTAGGGCACTAATGGAGCCCCTAGGATACTGGGTGAGGTTTAAAAAAAAAAAAAACTAATTTCTAAGGAATAGTTCTTGGAAGTTTTTAGTTAGTGGGAAAGAAAATTGTAACTTCTAATTTGCCTGCTTTATTAAGTAAACACTAAAATGAGTGCAAGTTTTGACACTACAAAAAAATTACAATGAGTATTCATGATGTTGTTCCAGTGAAGATTCTGTATGGTGTCATCTTTAAAATGCCATTAATGCAGCTAACTACATTGCTAAACAGATTAAAGAGAAAAGTTGGATGAGTGTAAACTTTCGGGAAGTACAATCTTATAGACTCAGTTCAAATGACTAAGCACTTTAGTCATGTAAATATACTTTTCAAATTTTTATATGAAATTTGTTTCACAGATCAAATGTTCAAGGGAAACATTTCCTATGAGGGCTTAATTCATTTCACTCATTTAAAATAGCTTAAGAATTTTACCGTAAATCTCAACAGTCATAAGTGATGGCAATTTCAGCATCCTTGGATGGCACACTTAGGAACTACTGTGCTATGAAAAGGTAGCACTGCCTTCTTTGTTACATTACTTTCCCTGCAGAGTGCATTTTTTCTAAGATTTTCATTATGATTAGGATGTCCCGTATCCATTATCAACTCTTTTCTTAGAACTGATAAGAGTTCATGGTGTTACTTTATGAAACACCCTGTTCACATACCAAAGAATACCATTTACTCAGAATCTTTACCAATTCCCAAAATTCATTCTTCTGTCTGCCATAAATGGCAGTATTATAAAGGCTCCAAGTGATTTAATAGGAACTCAAGTAAAAACTGGTACTGGTATTGATGCATTTTTAAACCACTAGAGTTTCTAAACTGTCAAATAAAAGATATTGGCCTTAACTGTTTGGTAACTGCCCAGGGAAATAAGCTGAAGATGTGGAGGGGAGTACTGTGGGTTTGGAAGATGTCTGTAATGCCAGCAGGACATCTTTCTGATGGTCTGCAAAAGAGGACAGAACAAAACCTGTTACTACTTCCATGCACTGTACAATACAATACCTAGTCCAGACACATCTCCTCACCTGAATTATTAAATAGATTCTGGCTGAGTCCACGTAAAGGAATGCTATCTTCTCTTTTCTTCAAGTATTTGGATTCCAATCCTGAATTTTCACCACTTCAAGAAAAGGTAAAATTTTAAAGTCTGATTTTATTTTCAATGTTTCCGTATGTTGCACGTCCTTAATTGACATACAAAATGCTCCAAAATACCAAAGCACACACATCACATCTACAGACACCCCAAGTGGAAAACTCCACATCTGCTGTCAGTGGAAAACAGGTGCACTAAAGAAATGCTATATAAGGGGCTGGAGAGTTGGCTCAGCGTTTATGAACACTTGCTGTTCTTCAGAGGACCCAGGTTTGATTCCCCGCACCTACATGGCAGCTAACTCCAGTTCCAGGTGGATCCGATGCCCTCTTCTGGCCTCTTCAGGCACTGCATGACACGATTAAAGCAAGTAATAACTTACCTGCCTGCTAATGCTTTCCTTCCCCAAAAGGAATAGTTATTGAAGCAAATAATAATTTATCTGCATATTAACATTTTCCTTCCCCAAAAAGAATAATTTTAAACTACACTAAGAACTGGAATAAGGACTATAGACTTTACATAGTGATAGACACAGAGAAGGACGGAAAAACGGAAAACCACCTGCAAGCTTGCTATGTAGCCCGGGCTGGGTTTGAACTTGGCAGCCTCCTGCCTCTAGCATCTTAAGCACTGAGATTACAGGAGTGCATCTTCGCACTCGGCGAAGGACACTACATTTCGGTTAAATCCAACCCTAAATGGTCCTTTGTTGTGGCTACACTAGAAAACTAGGCAGGAAAGCTGACAGGTTGTTTTGAAGTGAGAAGTCCCATGTGCACTGCGCACTATGTACGATCAGAAGTGCACCCTGAAAACTTTAGGAGATACCACACTAGATGTTGGAAATCAGATAAGGCTGTCACAGAGTACCCCAAACCAAAACCATGGCTGAGTGTTTCGGAGGTAGAATGGACAGACTTATGGTTAATGGTAGAACTGGAGAAGTGACTGGTGGGCAGGTCCTAGGTGGCTCGGAGGAGACATGCATGCTGGAAGATGAGATTAGCTGCTGGCCAGCAGCTACTGCCCCTCGTCCCTTGCAGAGACAGCCTAATCTGTCACCTTTCCTCTGAAGTGCAGTGACCTCCACACATGCTGGATCCTCCCTAGCATGAAGGCAGTCAGTCTTTCGAGGCCTAGACTAACACTGTATAGTGTCCTGGGCACACACAGCTACTGCTCAGTTGACATGTGACTAATTCAAATTAATCTGCTGCAGGGGCAAAATGTATGTATGCTGGATTTCAGTGTATGGGAAAGAAAAAACACATATAACTAGCCATAATGTTACACTGCTTTATACTGAGATCGTATCTTCAGTTTATTGAACTCAATAAAAAATATTATATGAACTTAAAATTTAAATAGCACATAAGTGATAAAATAATAATGCAATACAAGATATATAAATGGCTTGAAATGACCATTTCACAATTAATATCCTACATTTAAAATGAATGAGTGTTCTTTTTGTTGTGAGATGGCCTCACTTGATAGCCCTGGCTGGCCTCAAACGTGTGGTCTGCCTGACTTGGTCTCCAGAGTGCTGGATTATAGACATGAATCATCTCATCCAAGATTCTTTCTCCATTTACCAGAACTTCAAAATTTCTTCAACAATGTTTCAACAATGATTATTATCAAACATTAATACATATTACATAATGAATGCTGGTTACAAACTGGCATTGCTTTCTGTTATCTAGGGACCAATTTCACAGTTCTGTCTGTACTGTACCCCACAGTACATTCTAGCTGCTCTTGTATTACACTAGAAGAGAAAAATTAGAAAACCAGAGCCCCTGGGTCACACAATCAGGTTGAGAAGGGTGGGGTGTGATGGGTAAGCTATGAGGATTTTTTTGTATACTTGTCTGTTTTTTGTTTTTTTTGAGAGAGGGTCTTACTATGCATCCTTGGCTGACCTGACTACCGCACTGTATACCAGGCTGGCCTCAAACTCAGAGATCTACCTGCCTCTGCCTCTTAGGTTTGTGGTACCACACCCAGCTTTAAAAAGGGCAGTCTTCACTTACATAAGAAAATCTTATACATCTAATGGGATCCTAGAATTTAAAACAATAAGCACGAGAAATCACTTTTTTATAGCTCAAGGAACTCAAGCTTGCATCTTAAAATGTCTCCCAAATTTACTTAATTTTTGTTTTTTTAAAGTCCTATGGATTTCAATCTGTGCCAAGTGCTCCTGGAGGGAAGGAAAGGGGGAGGGGGGTGGGAGGAAAGGAAAAGGGTAATAATGGAGGAGCAGTGGGGAAGGGCTGAAGGGGGGAGGGGTTCTGAATATGCTCAAAATACATTTTATGAAATTCTGGAATCGGGCTGGAGAGATGGCTCAGTGATTAAGAGCACTGACTGTTCTTGCAGAAGACCTGGGTTTGAATCCCAGCACCCACATGGCAGCTAACAACTGTCCATAACTCCAGTTCTGGGGATCCGACAGCCTCTTCTGTCCTCTGCAGGCACTGCACGACACAGGTGCACTTACCTACATGCAGGCAATACACACATGCACATTTAAAAAAAAAAAAAGGCCAGGCGTGGTGGCACACACCTTTAATCCCAGAATTCGGGAGGCAGAGGCAGGCAGATCTTTGTGAGTTCAAGGCCAGCCTGGTCTACACAGTGAGTTCCAGGACAGCTGGGGCTACAGGGAGACCCTGTCTCAAAAAGACAAAAAAAAAAAAGAAATTCTGGAATCAATCCAAAATATTTTTAAAAAACATGTCTCACACAGCAGGCATCAGAGCTTTCAAACACTCACAAAAATAAATGACTTTGACAACTGCAAACATCAAACTACCATTAGCAAGTACTTACTTTTCCTTATCGCTTGAGCAAGGCATACTAACAGCTGCTCCCAACTGACTGTCTCCTAATGATGGATTTGGTTTTGTAAACTGCAAGTTAAACTGAACCTATGAAGAGGAAAAACAGTCATGTAACTCAACTCGACCAGAGACTTCCACACTGAGATGAGTTGTTATGTTTTAGTTCCTGATAAAGCTAGATTGTAAGAATAAAGGTTTTACCTCTATTTTACAGAAGCACATTCTTTTCAGACATAATAAGAGTCCAACTTCCTCACCAAAAAAGCTTAAAAATGACTGCTAAGAGTTACTTTGAAATGATAACATGCAGTTACAGGACTGGAACTGACCAGGCTGGGTATGGCAGCACATGCCTAGATCCCATCACCCAGGAAGCCGAGCTGGGAGGATCAAGAGCTTATAGCTGGCTCTGTCTCAAAAAAAAAAAATCAAGCGTAACAAGAATTCATTTACCTTGTGTTTTCTGAAAAATCCATGCTTTTTAAGAGCTTTTGGAGACTATGTTTATTTAAGGATTGTAAGTAAGATATTTTAACTTAAATTTTGAAATAATCAAGAATATAAACAATCTGAGATAAAATATCAGCATATAAGAAAAAATGTACTATGAGGTTTTATCAGGAAGATATAAACATTAAGAAAAGTCTAAAGATTTCACCAAAATGACTGTTAGAACTGAAAGAAATTCAGTAAAGGTGGCTAGAGAGATGGCTCAGTGGTTAAGAGTACTTGCTACTCTTGCAGAGGGATCAGATTAGGTTCCCAGAAACCACATGGCAGCTCACAGTTGTGATTGTAACTCCAATTTCAGGGGATCTGTTACCCTCTTCTGGCCACGGGGAGCATCAGGCACATACATGGTGCACATATATACATGGAAGCAAAAGACTCATAAAATAAAAAAAATTTTAAAAAAGGAATTCAGTAAAGCAGGCTATAAAATCAAAATATATACTAAGAAGTCATAAACATAATCTCACAATAGCCACAAAACAATAAACACACCTAGAAACACAACTAAAGAAGCACAAAACTTCCACAGTGAAATTTAAAACAGAAGAAATTAAAACATTAAATTTAGGGTTGGACAAATTAAAACAATTAAAATGTCCACACTAACCAAATTCATTGACAAATTCAATAAAATTCCTGTCAAAATCCCAATGATATCTTTCCCAGAAATAGAAAAAAATAATCCTAAAATTCATACAAAAGCACAAGACAGTCAAAGCAATCTTGAGCAAAAAGAGTAAAGCTGGAGGCATCACAATACTTGACTTCAAGACACAGTACAAAGCCATAGTAACCAAAACAGCATGGTATTGGCATCAAAAAAGGCATAGACCAATGAAAAAGAATACAAAACCCAGAAATAAACCCATGCAGCTACAGTCAACAAACTCTTAACAAAGATGCCAAGACAAAACTCACACATTAGAAAAAGGACAACCTTGTCCAGAAATGGTGCTGCTGAGACTGGATATTCCCTTGTAGAAGACTGAAACTTGACCCTCTCTCCTTTTATTAGAAAACAAAACAAAACTAAACTAAAAATGGATTAAAAGATTTTAATGTAAGATCAGAAATTCTGAAACCAGTAGAGGGAAAACAAGAAAGATTTAAGAGACTGGACTAACTGGTTTTCTGAACTCCAAAACCTGGAAGAGATGCCAAAACTGACAAATGACGCTCCATCTAAATACAAGCTTCTGCAGGCACAGAATCCATCAGCAGAGCAGAGGCGATTTCCACAAAGGAAAGACAGCTGCCATCTAATCATTCGAGAGAGGGCTAGTAGTGCCTAGACTATACAAATCCCTAAAAGCAACAAAACAAGAAATCTGACTTTAAATGTGCAAATGAAGAAAATGGACACTTTCCAAAACAAATAACAATGGCCAGTCTGGAAAAAATACTCAATGTCATTAGGCATTAAGGAAATACAAACCAAAACTACAATGAGATGGCTGGGGCTGGGGAGACGGCCAGGGGCAGAAAGTGACACACACCTGGGGCTATGACTCAGTTGCATGCCTATCATATACAAGGGCCCAAGTTTGATCCCCAGAACTACACATGCATGTACACATGTATGTATACACATACATACACAGAAAAAAAAATCAGTAAATTTGAAGATGGAGAAAATAGAAATAGTTAAATCTAACCCCCCCACAAAGTAAATAAATGAAATTAAAATAAATAAATGAAACTCTAAAAAAGCAAGGGATATTGAGAGAGATGCTGAAAAGTCAAGAACAATGGTCTGTCCCTGTAATTCTACGGACTAGGGAGAGACCAGGATAGCTAGCCAGCACAACATAAGGAGACACATCTCAAAACAAGACAAACAGAAGAATCATAAGAAAGACTTTCCATTTTGCCCATTTATTCAAGAGCATCCAACTAGGCACATTAGTAATACTAATGATGACAGATCAAGTGAACAGAAAAAACCACTGCTAACAAATCAAGAAGGAAAGGACTGCTTGTCAGACCATCTGAGACAACATTGCAAAACTGTAATTTAAATGTGCTAGCTATAAATATGCCCTACAAAACCCTTAGATTTTGGAAGAGAATCATCCTATCTAATAGGCCAGTAGACTTAAACAAAACATTGACTGAAAATGGAGAGGTGAGTAGGACTCAGCCCAGCAATAAACTGTATTCTTGGTTTGATTTTATTCATTTGAGTAGGTATATAAAAGGAATCAAGCAGACTGGTATCGGGGTCATCAGCAGCGAAGTCACATTACAAAGCATACAGTGTACATATTTCTTTAGGCACATAGCTAAATATTCAGTATTCAGCTACTGTATTATGTAACATGTAACAGCTAACCAAACAAACTTTGAAAAGGTGAAGAAACTTGTACACCAGTAAGTTCCTGCATTTTTTTTAAGTATCACTTAATTTGGCTACCTTTGGTCCTGAAATTGGATGGCTGGTGTTTTTGGCAGATACTGCATGAGGAAAGGTATTCTGAAATGCAAACACAGAGGAGACAGGATAGCCAATGCCACAGCTCGGGTAAGTCAGTCTACTATCGACCTAAAAAGAAAGATACAAAAAAATGATTAAAAACATAAAGTATTAGCCAGGCACAGCACTCAGGAGGCAGAGGCAGGTGGATCTCTGTGAATTCAAGGCCAGCCTGGTCTACATAGTGAATTCCACACCAGGTGGGGCTATGGGGAGACCCTGTCTCAAAAAGACCAAAAAAAAAAAAAAAAAAAAAAATTAAAAAAGAGCCGGGCATGGTGGTACACACCTTTAATTCCAGCACTTGGGAGGCGTAGGCAGGTGGATTTCTGTGAGTTCAAGGCCAGCCTGGTGTACAGCGAGTTCCAGGCCACCTGAAGCTATAGGAAGACCCTGTCTCAAAAAGAAAAAGGAAAATTCTACAATCAGTAACAATACTTTGTAGCCAGGAACACACCTCTGGTGTATAAACTGAGATTACTGTTCCATGCAATGGGGACTGCACACCAGAGGAACCAGGAGGAATCCCAGTAAGTATTAAAAGGGTTTTAACTCACTAACTAGATTTAGGCAAGCCAGGCAATTTAAGGGAAAGATTAAAGAAAGTGGGAATTTATTACTAATCACAAGCTATTAAGAAAGCAAGTGTAAATGTGTAACTGAATATCTAAATGTATTTTACCTAACAGGACAGAAGAATACAGGAAGGCCGACACAGTTAGTAGTTAAGGAAGCACTAACCAGCACAGGATGGTTGGCTCTTTTTGTGGTCTGGCCAATTTTTGTCTATATTTGGATCTGATTAAAGAGTGGTCTTGTTTTTGTGTTGATTCATCAGGCAACCTTATCTAGTGATGATATTCTGTGAAACTGTTATGTTCGGCTTGAGAGCCTACAGCCAGTAAGTTAGTCAGCAAGTGCCTAGTACCTCCTCAGCCGCGTCATCTCCTAACACCAGGCTACCTCCTGCCTCTGAAGAGCTAGCTGCCTTCTTATGCTCCATTCTGTTCCTTTAAGGAAAAAGTCAATGATTTGATCTTTAGAGCTAGAAAGCTTCATCTCATAACATTTTGGATTCAAGAGTTGATAAATCAGCTAACAGGGCCAGCCCTCCTCTTTTAGTCTGCTAATTACTGATAGAATCAGTGTAGGCCTTTTCCACACAGTTCCAAACTTGAGTCCAAATCCTGAACTTTCTCTTCTTTCAGTTTATAAATGATCTCTTTCTCTCTGCATGTTTATGTGTACTTTAGATACATATAATTTATTTGCTTTTGTTTTGAGGCACTCTCTCTAGTCCCAGCTTGCTTGGAACTTGCTATGTAGACTAGGGTAGCCTCGATCTCACAGAAATCCACCTGCTTCTGCCTCCCAAGAGCTGGAACTAAAGGCATATGCCACCACACTCAGCATTTTTCAGGATATTTAGGTAATGATTTCTTACTCAGAACAGTTTTTAAAAGTATGCCTTTCACACGGGCACACATATGAACATGTAAACACACTACACAGACATATATACACACTCACATACGAAGAATGTTTTTGAAACACAGCCTCTTTATTAAGAGCAGGTGTGCCTATGCCCCACTTCCAAGGGCAACTTACAGTCTACTTCAGCACTAAATAATTGTAGGTTTCCAGTTTATATTACTATCATCCCCCAAGTCATGGGGACACCCCAATACACGTTCATTACAGGAAACTCACTACCGTCACTCACATCTTACGTGAAATCTTACCATATTCAGGCTAGGAGAAATTCCATTTCTGATGGTGCTGCTACTGGAATGCGCAGGTGGAGTGGTAGAGGTGCCCCGTGCATCTTGCTTTCTTACTAGCTGGTTTTCATTTAGTTCTTTGTTTAGCCATGTGATTACTTAAATAAGAGAATAAGTAGAAGCAGAGAATTCTATTTCACTGTTTTTATTTTTCAAATCCTTTAAAGTATTTTAAAATGATAATACGCACTTTTTCCACACTGTTTTTTATTCAGAGCGTTTTCAATATGGAGCCCAGGCTAGCCTAGCACTCATGCCCAACTCTAAGCTTTTTTTTGTTTTGTTTTGATTTTTCTTGAGACAGGGTCTTCCTGTAGCTCCAGCTGGCCTGGAACTCCCTATGTAGACCAGGCTGGTCTGAAACACACAGAGATCCACCTGTCTCTGCCTCCCAAGGTCTGGGATTAAAGGCATGCACCACCTCACCCAGCTGGTTTTTTTGTTTTGTAATGTTGGGTTTCTACAACTACCTTATATATCACAATTGCAAAATATAAGCTGTATAAACTTTTGTAATCAAAGATGCTTATAGCAACAGTCACAGATGACTTCTGTTCTCAGGAGCACATATTTCGCTATTCAAAAAAACTGAGTTTGTGCTTATAGAATACCATCTTACAGAACATATTTAAAGTTAACAGTCCTATGTCTGATACCTAGCTCTTGGAACTGAGAAAATATTTGATAAACATTTAATTCCTTAATTTCAAATAACATATTATTACTATTAAATTATTACTATTATTACTCTACTCTTTTTAAAAAGTAGAGAATTTAAACAGCAAATTCTAATTAATATATTCTTTAAAAAAAGGATTTTTTTGCAATTTGTTTTGTATACATGTGTGGAGGGTCAAAGGATAACTTACAGAAGTCAGTTCTCTCTTTCTACTATGTGGGTCCCAGGGATCAAATTCAGGCTATCAAGTTTAGTGGCAAGTACCTTTTACCCACTGAACCATCTTACTGGCCCCAGTAAATATTTTAACACTTAACTTTGCTTTACTGACTCATGATGCATCTTTCTTAAAAACTTTTGTAGGACAGATGATACAATTTATTATAGCAAGGTCATTAAAACAGCAAAATTATAGCAGAAGTTAACTGTATATAGAAATATCTTGAGTCACCTTTTTTTTTTTTTGAGGCAGGGTCTCAGGATGTAGACTTGGCTGGCCTGAACCTCAGAAATCTGCAATTCTCTGGCTGGGATTAAAGGCATGTGGCACCACATCTGCTACCTACCCTTTTATTAATTTAAATAAAAATTTAGCCTCATTTACAGAAAAATAACATACTTACACTTCTCATTATTTTTTAAAAGCTGTTTACTTTCTTCAAGTTTCTGAACTGTAGCTTCTAATTGTTCTTGCAATTTGCACACCTGAAACATATCAATTACCACAATAAGTCAAAGTTAAATGAGCAAATGTATATGATTAAATAACTGATTACTATTTAGTACTAAATGAAAATAAGTTTAGCTCAGCTGTGTAATGAAATATTTAAATATGAGTATGACTTGATCCTTAGAGCTAGAAAGCTTCATCTCATAACATTTTAGACTCAAGAGTTGACAAACCTGCTAACAGAGCCAGCCCATAGTACATCCTACTATGAGAGAGAATCAAGGTATATGAGTAATGACAGCTAACTTTGCAAACTGAAATGTATTATAAACATCTGTCTAATCTAGTGGGGGCTTTTTTAAGGAAAAAAGGCCAAAGCAATTGTCATAATACAACAAAGTGGAAATTTTAAGCTTGTTATACCCTATACTAAGTCACAACACAAAAATAGAAAAGAGTAGCTACTACCTCTTGCTCTCTGGCTCGGAGAGATTGTCCAACATCCTGTAATTCCTTCTGTTCCTTTTGTAACATTTCCTCTTTCTCAGCCAAGAGTTTTTCTTGCTGAATAGTAACTGTATTCTTCAGTTTCAATTTACCCATAAGAGTTTTCAGATCCCCTTGTAACTTCTTGATAATTTCATTTGCCTATAAAAGAACTTCACGTGAATATTTTCATAATCCAATGAAATAGTAATATTCTGTTAAATTTTTAAAACAAACCTTCAGAAGTTCTGCTGATAATGACTTTATTGTAGCTTCTAGTTTTCCCAATTGTACCTGATTTTTCTCACCATTTTCTTCTAAAGCCACCTGATTTTAAAAAACAACACGATTAAGGCATTTGTGTTTATCTAGGGAAAGCATCACTTGTAAATGGTATCAATTTACTTTTTAAAAATTTTCCAAAAGACCTTTTGTTCTTGGATTGTATCAAATGCTTCTTTTGTTCGCAAAACAAGCTGGTCTTTATCCTTGATTTCCTGTTCTAAAACTGCCACTTTTGTCTGTAGCTGGTTAATATGTTTTTCTTTTTCATGGCATTCAGCATCCAGGGTAGAATTTTCTCTTCGTAAAGAAAGGACCTCTTGCTTGGCCCGCTGCAGCTCCTGGGGGATGATTGCAGGAAGAATCACTATGTAAAAGGGAAATTGGCCAGTCGGGTTATTTACAGTTAAGATGTCTAAAATGTCAAGGCAGGTGTAGTGGTGCCTATAATAACAGCACTCAGAGGCTGAGGCAAGGTGATCATAACCTTGAGGGCATCCTGGGCTATACAGTTTCCAGCCAAAAACAATCTTTAATCATTTTAAAGTTCTTATACTGACATTTTTTAAAAATCATAAAAATTGCCAGGCAAGTGTGCCAGGCACACTCCTTTAATCCTAGTACTCGGGAGGCAGAGACAGGAGGATCTCTGTGAGTTAGAGGCCAGCCTGGTTTACGTAGTGAGTTCCAGGACAGCTTGGGGCTACAGGGAGACCCTGTCTCAAAAAAAAAAAAACCAACAAAAAAAATACCGCACTGATTCTATATGTAAATTATAGAACTGGAATACAATTGTAAAATACACTACTAATTCACTCTTACCAAGGGAAAACAAAGTAATCCTGATTTATGAATAACACACTATAATGTTTTTAAAAATCTGTAGCAAGAATTTTATAACTCCCTAATAGTTTCCAAGGGTAAAAGTCAGTATTTTGTTATATGTATAGCTTCTTTTATAAAATTTTATTTATCTGTATTTTATGTGTATGAGTATTGTGCCTGAATATGTGGAAGCACACCCACCACATGTGCGCAAGTCCTGCAAAGACCAGAAGAGGGTGTCGGATCCTATGGAACTGGGGTTACAAATGGTTGTTAGTCACCATGTGGGTACTGGGAACCAAATGTGGGTCCTCTGCAAGAGCAGCTGGTGCCCTTAACCACTGAGCCATCTCTCTGGTCCTACAGCTTCTTTTTAGAAAGGGAACTTAAACTGTTTAATTTAATAATAATCTACCTTCTCATAATTATCTTTCCATGTCAACAAATAAATTAGCATTTCTGAACTTGTCTTTGGTTCATACTTATAGCAAAAATAAGCAAATAATAATTAAAAGTAAATTTTTTTGAGTTGGGCATGGTGGTAAACACCTTTAAGCCTGGTACTTGGGACGCAGAGGCAGTTGGATCTCTGTAAGACTGAGGCCAGTCTGGTCTACGTAGAGAGTTCCAGGCTAACTGTAACTACATAAAGGGAGACCCTGTCTCAAAACAAAACAAAAAACAAAAACAAATTTTCAAAAAATCTAGAATAAATTACTTCTCAATCAGCAAACAGAAACCCAAATGTAGCTGGTTCTCAAAGTCGAGGATATACCTAGGGAATTATCGCTTTAACAAAAAAGATTTCTAAAAAATATTTTATTCTTATATGTATGCGTGTATTGCCTGCATGTAGGTAAGTGCACCTGTGTCATGCAATGCCTGCGGAGGACAGAAGAGGCTGTCGCATCCCCTGGAACTGGAGTTACGGACAGTTGTTAGCTGCCATGTGGGTGCTGGGATTCGAACCCAGGTCTTCTGCAAGAACAGTCAGTGTTCTTAACCGCTGAGCCATCTCTCCAGCCCCGCTTTAACAAAAACTTTTAAAGATAATTTTATAGCATATGACAATGGTTATAGGACCAAACTTTGGAATCAGATAGATCTGACTTAAGTCAGGATTCATGTACAATGCAATTGTGGAAATCACTTAGCTCTTTCAGTTCCCTCATTCATTAAATACAAATGCTTAAAAAGATAAAAACTGGGCTGGTGAGATGGGTCAGAGGGTGATAACACTTGCTGCCAAGCTGGGACTCACATGGTAGAGAGAACCAACTCCTGTGAGTTGTCCTCTGACTGCTATACCATGCTGTGACATGCGTGTTCCCATACATACACACATACACAATACACATAATAAATAACTTCATAATGTTATAACTTCACAATGCAGTTTGGGAGGGGGGCATGAGATGGCTTAGTGGTGTTTGCTTATAGTCTAGCTACTCAGTGAGGTAAAGGAAGGCATTTGCTTGAGACCAAGAATTTGAGGTCAACCTGGGCACACAGCAAAACCCTGCCCAAGAGGGGAAGGGGGGCTCTACAAGTGCTTTCTGAAAATAACTTATACTAATGCCAAGTAGGACACTACCATCATTGTCAAAGCATTAATAAATGTGTTTATGCCACAATAGCTGCGTTCTTAAGCTGCATTGATGTGTTAGAGACAGTGCTCACTGAAGAGCACTTGCCAAGCATCAGGATCCCAACACTGCAAAAACAAACAGAAGTTTTGGGTGTCTGAAAGACAAGCAAGTAACAGATGAGTTACAATCCCCATTCTTCCATTTGCTGTCATAAGATCTTATGCAAATGACTTAATTTCTGTACTTTAATTTCATTATCTACACAGTGGGATAACAACAGTAGCCACTTGAAGAACTTTCAAGAATTGAGTTAATTTTTGCAAAGCACTTAAACAGTTTGTCTAATGCATGGTATCACTGCCTGATAATAGGTAAGGCTATGTCATCACATAGCAAATGCTCAGTGAGCCTTAGCTATTATCAGGCAGTGATACCATTCATTAGACATTAAACTTCATACAGCTATTTGATTAACCCTGTCAACATTGAGCATCAGATGAGATACAGACACTGCACTAATATTAAAAATACACTGAAAGCTGGGCATGGTGGCGCATGGTGGGAGGCAGAGGCAGGTGGATCTTTGTGAGTTCGAAGCCAGCCTGGTCTACATAGTGAGTTCCAGGACAGCTGGGGCTA